TGAATTTAGAAAAATATTATTTGATTCATAATTTTAAGTTTAGAATGACTCAGCTTTATATTTAGGACAAATTGGCGGTACCTGACAGATTATTGTCCGGGTATTTAAATATATTGTTTTGAAATTCTAGTGTAATACATCCTATACTGACTTTGGAGATCTGGCCCCAATTCTGCCATTTAATCTCTCTGAGATTTATTTTTCATATTTGCATGTTACATTAAAAATTTGATGTGTATGAAAATTAATTTTAGAAGTTGCCCACATATCAGGAGTTCTGGTGGTGCTTTCAGGTAAGTGTTAGACTGCTAGCCACAGGTCAGAGTTCAAATCCATCAGCCACTCCATGAGAAAAAGGTGGTGCTATCTATTCCTATAAAGACTTATGGTCTAGGGAAACATTCTTTAGAGTTGACTCGATGATAGTGAATAGGCCCCTATATTATGACCACTCTGAACTTTGTTTATATATTTATGTATCTTTTCAGAACACTAAAATTGCTATGGCTATTGGCTTCAATAAACAATATCATGATAAACGGAGAAAACCACTGAAGTTGTCAAGGAATTCATTTTGCTTGGATCCATAATTAATGCCAGTGTTTCATTCTGTTGTACATAGGGTCTATATGAGACCCAACTCAGTGACAGCTAACAGTAACAACTGGCTTCATAGAGGACAGCTAGCAGCCTTAATTTTAGAATTCCCATGTTTCCATTTGCTTTAGATAGACCATTTCCAGAGGCCTGGTGGTGTGGTGGGCTGACTATGCACTGAGCTTAACCACAAGGTCAGCAGTTTGCACCTGCAGGAGAAAGATGAGGCTGTCTACTCCTGTAAAAATGTAGGCTTGGGAACCCAAAGTGGCAGTTCTACCCCATCCTATAGGGTCACTATGAGTCACAGTAGACTCTATGCATTGAATTTGAAGGTGTTTTTTTTTTAAGTCATTTTATTGGGGGCTTTCACAGCTCTTATCACAATCCATACTTCCATCCATTGTGTCAGGCACATTTGTACATAGGTTGCCATCAGTCATTTTCAAAACATTTTCTTTCTACTTGACCTCTTGGCATCAGCTCCATATTTTTTCCCTTCCTTCCCCCATCCTTCCTTTCATGAGCCTTTGATCATTTATAAAAAAAATGTTTTCATGTCTTACACCGACCGCTGTCTCCCTTCACCCAGATTTTGTGTTTGTCTCTCTGGGTGGGGTGAGGGTTTTTTGAGTTTTTATACTTAAATATATACACACATCTATAGATATATATTATGATTAAATTACACACCATTATAAGAAAGGACCATTTGAAAAAGAAGAATTCATCCCAAGTTCTACATCCTAACACCTCGATTGTTTTTCATTTTCCCTGTTCCCTTTTTTGTTCCTATTCACATGATACGGTCTTCATTATTAGACCAGGTAAGCAATCACTGGTATAAAACTAGGCTGTGGGGATGAAAGAGCTTTTGTTATCACCAGGATCTGGGAAGTTGGATTCACCTAGGTACTCTCTTCTGCCCTGTCACATATTTACTAAGTCTCTCAAATTAGCCAATTTTCACTCTCAATTTATACTTCTGAGCTAAGATGGACTTATTTCTTGTTAAATATATTTTTAAGAAGGATGACTAATCTGTCAATTTATGGAAAAAGTCTTTCAGACTCTAGAAGCTTAAAAAAGTTGACTTTTTTATTTGAATAATTTGGGATAAAGACTAAGTTGATCAGCTTTGCGCAGTGGCAATATCGTAGCCAGTGAGGTTTATCCGAGGCGCGATTATTGCTAATTGATAGACTAAGTTGATCAAAAATCACAACTTGGTCAGTTTACAAAAAAATATTTTGTACACTGAGTTAATATATCATCATCCTGATTTTGCAGACGAGGTATAGCTAACCTCCACAAACCTATGAAATTAATGAACAAAGAAGCTGTAGAAATTTCAATGTCTGGTCAACAAAAATTTCCTTTTAGTGGGAAGTTCATTGCTATCATTTTGCAGAATGGAACAGATTGAGCTCAGCACAGTCAGTTCTGTGAGGTAGGCATGTTGGCTTCAGCCAAATCTGGCACATTAGCTTATTAAAGACTTTTTTTTAACCAATGCATTCAGATTCTTTGATAAAGCATTAGAGTAATAACCACGTCAGTCTGACTAACAGGGACCTTTATTTGCTAAGCTCCATTGAACATTTGGTTATACAATGGGCTATGTAGGAGGAAAGAAATCACATCAAGATTTGAATGCAATGGATATAGCCTACTATCCACCAACCTATAATACTCACATACCATGTTTTTGCTCCATCACCCAGGCATCCTAGAGATCAGCTCTAAGGTGTATTGTTCTAAGAAAGTTATCTCTGGAATTACCAAAAATAACTGCCAAAGATGAAG